AGGAGTTGCTATGAGTCGAATCTGACTTGACGGCAGTGAGTTGAGTTAAGATACCACAAGTCATCCACCAACTCTAGCTGGTTCTCATTATTTCTGACAAAGGAGGACAAGGAGGGGACTGATGAGTGAAATAATCCAAATTTTTCATCAAATCTCATAGTTCTCACATTGTCCCTAGAACAGGTAACAGTCACCACAATGCACTGATTTGAGTCTTCTCTCCCTTCCCTGGAATGGTCTCTGTTAAGACAGAAAGCCCGTAGGCTCCTAGATGAAATGATCTTTAGACTCCAGGGAAGGAGAATTTAGACTGTGCCCTTTGTAATATGGAGTTCCTGCAAATGCACTTGGCTGCTAACCAACAGCTTGGTGGTTTGAACTCACCAGAGGTGCCTTGGAAGAAAAGTCCTGGCAATTTACTTTAAAAAAATCAGGCATTGAAAACCCTGTGGAGCACAGTTCGACATTGACACTCATGGGGTGCTCATAAGTCAAAGTAGACTCAGCGACAACTGGTTAGGATTTATTTTTATTTTTGGTAAGCTTTCTGTTCGTTTATATCTTCACCCCTCCCCCTTAAACTTTAGGTGAGTTTATGGAAGCCCATAAATCACCTGGCCAGCTGATGTCTGCACCTTTATTTCTGACTAAAGAACCTCCCATTTCATCCCAAGGTTCCTGGGGGATCAGCTTGGCCAAGGATGGCCACAAGTGGCCTACTTTACACTTTTCAAACTAGCCATACCAATCAGCTTCCAGCTCTCATACTTGATCTAAGATTTTGTTCTTGGCTTGCTATGCAGTCATGAACATAACACCCTGTCTGTTTTTCTTTCCCATGACTAGCTGTGGGAAAGCAGCTGCATGCCAGGAAACATGGTGACTTTCTCCTTCTTCCATTCCATTCGCTTGTGATTTGTTGGGTGAGAGTCAGGAAGATATTTGGTCCTTGAGGGAGCCTTTCTGGTATTTTCTTGGAAATGCAATTTTATAAATGTTGTACAAACAGCTTGTAATTGTAACCATTCTGGATGAGACCAGTTGCTCAGCTCCCTGTTTGCCCTCCCTCTTGGAAAATTGGGCCCAAGACATTTAGATAATCATTGCTATTGAGTTGACTCTGTCTCATCGCAACCCTATAGATAAGATGATGTAAATGGAGGAGGAAGTAAGAGTTTCATTGTGTGTATGAGGTGTGTCCCTAGCCATATTTATAAATTTTGTATGACTTATGTGCTATTATTTATATACCTGGGAAGCTCTAGTAGCATAGTGCCTAAGGCATTTGACTGCTAACCAGAAGGCTGATGGTTCAAACCCACGGAAGGAAGGTTGGGCAATCTACTTTTGTAGTGATACCACCTCAGAAAACCCGAGGAGGCACTGCTCTGAGTTGGATCTGACTCGACGGCAGTGATACCTGAGTGAATACTTATTATAATACTTATTATAACTGTAGCTAACATGTTCAGAGCACCTATTATGCATCAGAAGAATCCCTGGTGGCACAGTGGTTAAGCACTTAGCTCTTAACTGACAGTGGGCAGTTCAAACCCGTCACTTGCTCCATGGGATAAAGTGTTGTGGCAGTCTGCTTCCATAAAGATCACAGCCTTGGAAACCCTATGGGGTAGTTCTGCTCTGTCCCAGAGGATAGCTTGAGTTGGAATCAACTCGACAGCAATGAATTTGGTTTTGGTTTATTATGCATCTGGCATTTTTCTGAAAGCTTTCTGTATATTAACATATTTAACCCTCCCCATAACCTCTGGTAGCATAGTGCCTAAGGCACTTGACTGCTAACCAGAAGGCTGGCGGTTCAAACCCACCAGCCACTCCTCGGACTACTTCTGTAGTGATACTGCCTCGGAAACCCAAGGAGGGGTCGCTATGAGTCGGGGCCGACTCGACGGCAAATAACAACAACAACAACATAACCCTGTGCTCTGGTAGCGTAGTGCCTAAGGCACTTGACTGCTAACCAGAAAGCTGGCAGTTCAAACCCTCTAGCCACTCCTCAGAAGGAAGGTTGGGCAATCTACTTCCGTAGTGATACCATCTTGGAAATCCTAGGAGGGGTTGCTATGAGTCAGGTCCAACTCAATGGCACATAGCAACAACAACGACAAAACCCTGTGAGACAGGTACTATTATTAGCCCATTTTAAAGATGAGAAAACTGAATCCTGAGAGGTTGCCTAAAGTCACACAACTGGTAATTGATGGAACCAGGATTTCAACCCAATCAATCATAGCTGTTACCCTAAACTGCCTCTCATGTGCAATGATTATAGCTTGGTGATCTAGGCCCAATTGGCATTTAGCTGAGGGACATTAGCAGGTTAACATTGTCCACAGAGTTGTTGTGATGTGCCTTCAAGTGGGACTTGACTCATAGCAACCCTTCCTTGGGTTTCCAAGGCGGTATCATTATGGAAGTAGATTGCCCAACCTTCCTCCCGAGGAATGGCTGGTGGGTTTGAACCACCGGCCTTCTGGTTAGCAGTCAAGTGCCTTTAGGCACTACACTACCAGAGCTCCCCATCCACAGAGTAAGGAGGCAGTAAGTGTCCAGTCATGGAGGAGGTGACGCTGATGGTGGCAGCTGTAATTGTACCCAAGATGATTAAATGTTTTCACATTTTACCATTTGAGATTTGAATGCAGAATCCTATGTTACAAACCCAACTTTGTGACCTCAGTCAAATTATTTAACCTCTCTGAGACGCATTTTCCTCATCCATAAAACAGGGCTAATAATAACCACATCCTTGGGTAGTTGTGAGGGTGAAGTAATAGAACATACAAAAAAAAAAAAATCTAGTTCAACCCCAGACACTTGTTGTTGTTGTTATTGCCGTCAAGTTGGACCGACTCATAGCGACCCCTCCTTGGGTTTCCGAGGCAGTATCACTACAGAAGTCGATTGCCCCATCTTCCTTCTGAGGAGTGGCTGATGGGTTTGAACCGCCAGCCTTCTGGTTAGCAGTCAAGTGCCTTAGGCACTAAGCTACCAGAGCTCCTCCCCAGACACATAGTGTTCAATAAAAGTGATCTTCGTTTTTTTTTTTTTTTAGCCAATTAGACAATTCTCAATAGATAAATTACTCACGATAATTATTTTACATTTCCAAAGAAAATAAGAAATCATATCCAGTTTATAGGTATACTTTTTAGTGAGTTGTGAGTTCTTCCTTTTTAAGCTAGTCAGGTCTGGCTTTTGCTAAAGTCCTGGTTAACTTTTGACCTACAAGTAAACTACCTTAATTTCCATAACTGGAATGTCTGCCTGCCTCTTGGAGGTCATGGCAGCTGTACTCACTGGCCATTTGACAACCTTTTCCTCAGGAGCAGTAATCATGTGCTCTGTGTGGAGGCTGCAGGGTGCAAGCTCACAGCCCTGCCCTCTCTCGCCCTCTCCTTTGTGTGTGCTTTGTGAATTACAGCCTATTGGTCCCGCTCCCTCCTCAGGGCCTCCCTCTGGGGAGTGTGTCAGGGGATGGGGAAATCATTGATATAGAAGCAGCTTGCAAAGGCACTTACTGCGAAGGCGTTGGCACCACTGGGCATCCTAAACGGCTTAGAACAGTTTTCAAAAAATTCTAACATGGAGAACATTTATTTATTTTTCCTTTCTATTGAGAAGGCAGAAGGGACAGCCCTGAGCATCTTGGGAAATCCACAGTTTGACAGCCCATTCAGATGAGAACATACCCCTCTGCCAATGTCATCCCCAACCCTGATTTTAAGCAAAAGTCTCGGGGAGATTAAATTGAGGTTTATCTTTGAGTGACTGGAGTTATTTTTGTTTTCCTCAGCCCGGACGAGTGTAATTAATGCTAAGACACTGGCGGGAACAAGGCTTTTATTATAATACAAGGGTGAGGATGGCTTGGACTGACCTTTCTTATGCTGGAGTTTCAGTGTTTTAGTATGTGCTGCTTGTGCTGGAAAGAATTTATAATCACAGGCTGTCAAAGACAGCCATTGTTCTCACTGCTCTGAACATGTGGGTCAGCACAAGTGCTTTCAGCTCCCCCAGCGCCAAGAGCTGGCCGAGAGCAGGGAGCATGCCTGGATTCTTCTGAGGCATCAGGAAAAGCATTTTGCATATTTTTCATAGCTTTTTTTTTTTTTTTTTTTGCCCCTAAACTTTCTGCCTCAGAAAGACAGCTCCCTTTCAGAGCAGGAATTTCCCTTCAAGGTAGAAGGAGATGGAGGCATGCTGCTCCAGGATTTTACGGAACTGAGTCTATTGCAAAAACAAACGCAGCGTGCATTTGCCGAATAGCACAGGCAGCAGCAGTTACGTGGCTAAATTAGGGGCTCGTTCCCAGAACAAATATGCAGCTATGGATTCCGAAAGACGGGTCAAGGTTAAGGTTTTAGTTTTTCTTTTGTGTTTTCATCTGTCATTGTATTCTTAGGAATCCAAACTTTATGATCCTTTATTATTAATTTCTTTATTCTCCCCCCCCCCCCTTAAACCATTGTGAGATCTCAGTGACTTGCTCATTTTCTTTGGAAATATTGTGTGTGATTTTCTGATTGGGAGTGATGATCTGGCAATGATTATCAATCCTCCACCTAGCTGCCATAACTTTTCGAGAGTGATGCAATATGCAGGATGGGGGCAACCGCAGCACTTGCTGATATTGTAGGCTCTAGGTTTATTGCAGTAATGTCTGTAATCCTTTCGTTTTATTTCTGAGCAGGAGACTGATGACACTGAGAGTCCTAAGCGTAGTATCCGAGACAGTGGCTACATCGACTGCTGGGATTCCGAACGCAGCGACTCCCTCTCTCCTCCTCGGCACGGCAGAGATGATTCCTTCGACAGCCTGGATTCCTTTGGCTCCCGTTCCCGGCAAACACCTTCCCCAGATGTAGTGCTCAGGGGAAGCAGTGATGGTAGGTCAGAGTCTTAATAAACTCCACATTTTAGAATTAACCATTTACAAGGGCTGCATTGTCACCGGCTGAGGGATTGGCTTCAGTAAGCCGGACTCCATGTCATCCTGGTAACTCTATAAACTGATTGAAGAAATGTTTTTTAATGTTGTTTTTCATGGCCCTTGGAATTTTGATTGGCTTTGCCAGCAGTTTGTTTGAACATTGCCTCAGTGAGCATATCTTCTATTGGAAAATGTGTTACATCATTCTTCCCTTGGTCTCAGTGAATCAAGACCCTGTGTAGTCTATTAGCTCATAAACTGTGCCCAAGTTTATATATTCTGGGTATGAGGAGGGAGAATGCTTAAGTCAGCCCCACACTGTGTAAGTGAAAATGGATCAACTTCCAGCAAACTGGAAATACACCCCACACATGTATGAAGCCTAGGATTGTGAAATGTTAATTGGCAAGGTTCTTGGCAATCTGTTTGATCCTCATGATACCTGACAGGTTGACTAGAGCGATGCAGGTGGCCGTTAGTGTATAGCACACAGCCCAGACTGCCTGTGTATGTTCTGGGGCTGCATCTAACTTAAATCCTACTGACTTTATATCACCTGTAAGGGATGATCATTTATCTCTACAAAAATGTATGGTCATGTAACCTGATATAGATTCAGTGCATATTTTTCAGAAGCTCTTTACCTTACTTACCTTGAGATTGTGTAATTCTAGGAAGGGAAGATGACATGCCTCTGCATGTATAAAGTTGCAGAAAAATGCTAAGGCCAGTGGGGAATTTTTAGATTTTTCTATTTTTTCATGTATTACTATTGATGCTAGTATTTCTAGAGGCGTAAGCCTACTCTCTGAGATCAAAACTATCTTTTCTAGCTAAAAAGTCCCTTTCAGCTATAAAATTCTATGATCCTAGCTAACTCGACGGCAAACAACAACAACAGCTACATCCATGGGTTGAGTACATATTGTGACCGGGTACTGAGTATCTGAGCACACAGCATCTCATTTAGTCCTACCATAGAGCTATGAGATACTCCTTCTTGTTCTTAGTTTCCAGGTGAGCCTTAGAGAAGAACTTAAATAATCATACCAACATTTTTAAGTGACAAAGAGCACCACCAATAAGTACAGTCACAGTATTAGAATCAAGGAGTGGGAGTCCCAGACTTGTGTTCTGAAGCTTATTTTACTCACACATCTTTCTCTTTGCTTAATAGAGTTGTTTTTTTCTGGGGGGGCGGGGGAGTTCTAGAAATGACTGAACTAATGTTTTACTTTAGTACTTACACTTTCCAACAAATAGAGTAGCCTCAGGGAACCACAGTGTATGTGACTCGTAAAGAATTCCAAGGGCCATTGTGAGCCGCTTGAAAAACATTTCTAAAATTTCACAACATCTGAAATACCACCCACGGTATTAGAAGTCACAGTGCCGTGGCCATGATCTAACTGAGCTTAAACATAACCAAAAAGTAGGTGGACTTTTACAAAACATACCTTAACTGAATTATTGTAAAACCTGTGAGAGCTGAAACTCCATGGGACTGCCTTGTTTTTCCAGGTCTCCCAAGTTTCCCACCTTTGGGAAAAAAAATCTTAGCACTTTTTTATCCTTTCTATTAGTGGAAAATATATTTATTTTCCTACTTTGACAGGTTTCTGCTTTACATAGGTTCTAGATTTCCCAGGTTTTACTATATTTAGTCCATATTATTTTGATTGTTTAAAAAAAATGTATTTCCTGTGCCCTGTTTGTTTGTTTTTTCAATCACTGGTAATATGAATCCTTTGTTTATCCTGTTACCAGCCATGAGGGGTCCAGATTTATAATAAGCCACATCCTGAAGGGGTTTAAGGTGGTGATTACTAATATTGTACTAACATGTACTGTGGTGCAATTTTGTTTGCAGCAGATGAGATTGATAAGATAGAGCCTTTTTATAAATGTTTTCTCCATCTAAAGAATAATATTTAATTGGATTCCACAACTCACAATCCATGAAGTGGTGTCTTACACGTCTCACCAATCAGCCTGATACCTAAAGGCTCATGCTTTTTGTTAACTAATCAAGGCTTAATGAGGTTTTTAAAGAAAAATAACACATTTTTATTGGTCTAAAAAATGTGGTATGATTTTAGCCAACTTGATGTTGGATTTCATAAGAGTATATGGTATATTTTTAAAAGTGATGCTAATCAAGAAGATTGCTAGTCCTAATAAACACTTCCATATTTGGAAGAATATTTATATATATATATATGTATATATATAAATATTGACTTCCTAGGACTCACAATTGTTTAGAGAAAGTCTTACTGTGAAATTGTCCAAACTTCATCAAATCACTATGGAGATCTTATTATTGAAGCCCACTGACCCACCCAATTAAGAACAATCAAGGGCCACACACAAGGAGTGCCTGATTCTGTGGGCTGGACACAAGAGCTACTGTCAGGGGATTTTATGATGCTGTGGCTCCCCTAGGTTGATTCAGCCAACATGTCTTACTAGATAGGTGCCTAGTCCCTCTCTTACCTTCACAGGTATCCCTCCAGGGCCATGTAAGGATGACTTAATGGGCCTCATTGAAGAAGAAATACAAACCTTCCATTCAGGTGCTTTTAAAACTAAGAATATAGTTATAAATATGATACACTGTGTTAGGCAAATATTCTTTTATATTTTGTGTAAAAGATTAATTAAGGGAGAGAAATAAGAAATGAGATGTTCAAGTGCTAGAAAAGGGTTGGGGTTTAGCAAAGGGAGGGGGTGAGTATGTTAAAGAAACCTTAAAAGAAAGAAAGGCACCTGGTTGCTGGAAGAGAAAAATGTAGCCCCATGAAAAGGAAGAGTCAGACTTTGATAAAATAACCTCATCATTATGTGCTGTGTTTCATTGTCCTAAATTTGGGCATAAATAGAGAAACCACCAACATTCTCAGAATGAAGTGTAGTCAAAATTTTTTGAAGTCCTTGACTTTAGATAAAAAGAGATCTAACATTTATAGAGGCTGGAGTTATGGTGGTGTAGTGGTTAAGGCATTTGGCTGCTAACCAAAAAGTCAGTGGTTTGAACCCACTAGCCACTCCACAGATGAGAAGGTGAGGCAGTCTGCTCTAATAAAGATTTACAGCATTGGAAACCCAAAGGGGGTTGCTATGAGTTGGAAATGACTCGATGGCAGTGAGTTTGATTTTTGTTTTATAGGTGGCAGCCCTTCATAGGTGTTTCATGCTATCTCATTTAACCCTCATGACAACTTCTGAGAGCAGTATTATCATTTCCATTTTCTCATGAGGGCATCTGAAGTACAGAAGGTTTAGTTAAGTGCCAGGGTCACACAGCTGGTAGGTGGTGGAGCTGAAATTAGATCATGGCCTATAAGACCATAAATCTACAGTTCTTTCAACTGAGCCACTTTACCTTGGGGTGTTCTTGAAATGTCTAAGACATTCATTGTCTAGGGCCATACCACCGTGAACGCACCCGATCTCGTATGATCTCGGAAGCTAAGCAGGGTCGGGCCTGGTTAGTACTTGGATGGGAGACTGCCTGAGAATACTGGGTGCTGTAGGCTTTGGCCTCTGCTTTCTTGGAGCTCTGGTAGCGTAGTGCCTAAAGCACTTGACTGCTAACCAGAAGGTTGGCAGTTCAAACCCACTAGCCACTCCTTGGAAGGAAGGTTAGGCAATCTACTTCCGTAGTGATACTGCCTTGGAAACCCAAGGAGGGGTCGCTTTGAGTCGGGGCCAACTCGACAGCACATAACAACAACAACAAGACATTCATCAAAGGGTAGTCAGGGGGTAGAGAGGAATGATCTCCTTATCTGTTAAACAGATATATTTTGAGATTTCACTCAGTATATTATAAACCAAACTCATTTCCATCAAGTCGATTCCAGCTCATAGCAACCCCCATTGGGTTTCCAACACTATAAATCTTTACAGAAGCAGACTGCCTCATCTTTCTTCCATGGAGTAGCTGGTACATTTGAACCACTGACCTTTGAGTTAGCAACCAAATGCTTCAACCACTACACAGCTAGAACTCCTTTAGGATATTACAGATATTGTACAGAAATAATGTTCATAAATTATAGGACTTTAAAATTGAAGGTGCTGAGACAACTCTAATCCATAACTTCCACTGTCAATTGAAGAATCATCATTTTTTCATTTATCTATTCAACAAAGTACAATATTCCTCCCAAGTCAGAATGACTTAAACATAGGACATTTTTATAAGAGAAGGGTGTAATGGATAAAAGAGCTTCAGGATGGGAGTCAGGAAAACAGAATTAGAGTCATAGAGCTGTTATTAGGCAGCCATGGAGAAAGGCACCTTCTAAGTCTCTCTTTCCACCTTTATAAAATGGGGGTGAAATCAAATGTGGAAACACAGGCTAAGAGCTTGGACAAATGGGAAGGTTAGGTAGTATTAAAAACCAAAAAAAACAATCTCACTGTCATTGTGTTGATTCTGAATCATAGTAATCCCCTTTGGGTTTCCGAGGTGGTAAATCATTACGAAAGTAGATTGTCCAGTCTTCCTCCTGCAGAGTGGCTTGTGGGTTTGAACTGCCAACCTTCTGGTTAGCAGTCAAATGCCTTAGGCACTATGCCACCAGAGCTCCTTAAGGTAGTATTAGTAGTTGTTTATAAAAAGCAACTCACAGGAGGCACTAAACATTATGACACTGAAATATATTTATTAAGTGTTAACTTGGTGGAGAGGGAGCTAAGTTATGAGTCAAGTTCTAACAATTAATGAAATGATCAAAACTTCATTTTTGGAAGTTTTGCAAGGAAGTGCTGTGAATAATTCATAAACTGAATATTTCATCTGCAACAATGAACAACTTGTTTATGGACAGTGCTTTAACTTTTACAGATTTTCAAAAGGCATGATATCATTTAATATCTCTCACCAAAAAAACAAATTCACTGCCATTGAGTCAGATCTGACTCATAGAACTCCTCCTTGGGTTTCTGAGGCAGTATCCTACACAAGTAGATTGCCCAATCTTCCTTCTGAGGAGTGGCTGCTGGGTTTGAACCACCAGCCTTCTGATTAGCAGTCAAATGCCTTAGGCACTACGCCACAAGAGCTACCATTTAGTGTCTAGTCGACTTTATGTGATATGGATGGAGTAAACCTTTTGGGACCTCAATTTGCTGATGGGGCAGAACTCAAAATGGGAAGAAACAGCTGCAAACATCATTGATAATCAGAATGTGGAATGTGCAAAGTATGAATATAGGAAAATTGGAAGTTGTCAAAAATGTAATAGAGCACATAAAAATTGATATCCTAGACATTAGTGACATTTGACTGCTAACCAGAAGGCTGGAAGTTCAAACCCACCAGCCACTCCTCAGAAAGAAGATTGGGCAATCTACTTCCATATAGATACTGCCTCAGAAACCCAAGGAGGGGTCATATGAGTCAAATCCACTTGACAGCAATGAGAGTTAGAGATATTAGTGAGCTGAAATGGATTGGTTTTAGCCATTTTGAATCAGTCATATGATCTAATATGCCAGGAATGATAAATTGAAGATGAATGGCTTTGTATCCATAGCCAGAAAGAAAGTTTCAAGATCTAGCCTGAAGTGTAGTACTGTCAGTGATAAAATACTATCCAAATGCCTATAAGGAAGACTGGTTAATACTATTATTATTCAAGTTTATGCACCAATTACTAAAGTCAAAGATGAGGAAATTGAAGACTTTTACCAACTTCTGCAGTCTGAAATTGACCAAACATGCAATCAAAATGTATTAATTATTACAGGTGATTAGAATGTGAAAGTTGGAAACAAAGAAGAACCACCAATAGTTGGAAAATATGGCCTTGGTGATAGAAATGACCCCTGAGATCACATGACAGAATTTTGCAAGGCCAATGACTTATTCATTGCAAATATCTTTTTTCAACAACATAAACAGTGGCTATACACGTGAACCTCACCATATGGAGTACACTTGGAATCAGATTGTCTACATGCGGACAGAGGCAATGGAGAAGCCTAGTATCTTGAGCCAAAACAAGGCCAGGAGCTGACTGTGGAACACACCATCAATTGCTCATATGCAAGTTCAAGTTGAAGCTGAAACAAGTTAAAACAACTCCAGGTGAACCAAAATATGACCTTGATTATATCCCACCTGAATATAGAGACCATCTGAAGAATGGACTTGACATATTGAACACCAATGACCAAAAATCAGATGAACTGTGGGATGACATCAAGAACATCATACACGAAGAAAGCAAAAGGTCATTAAAAAGGCAGGAAAGGAAGAAAAAAACCAAAATGGATGTCAGAAGAGACTCTGAAACTTGCTCTTGAATGGAGAGTAGCTAAAGCAAATGGAAGAAATGACAAGATAAAAGAACTGAACAGAAGATTTTAAAGAGCAGCTTGAG